AACGCATGAAAGGAATCTAGGAACAAAACAAACAAAGGAATCTACATGCAATTGAAATTTGGAATTTTAAAACTCACAAAATTGAAACTTCAAATCTGAACTACACGAATTCAAAGAAATTAACAAATCTACATGCAAACTGAAATAAACTCTTGCAAATTACACTAAATCGAGAGAACAAGAAAATTCATTTCGAATTTAATAAGAAGAAGACAGGATTTCAGTCAAACAAAGGGGAAACTAGAAGACAACAGAGGAGAGAGACGAACCAATAGGAAGCTTCAAGCTGAAATCAAGAGGAAGCAAGACGGCGCCAGACACAGAGACGGCAGAGGAATCGCCGGCGACGACGATTGAGAGAAGACAGAGGAATCGCCGGCGGCAACAAACGTGTTTTTTTCTTTTCCCGACAGAAGATGGTTTGACGAAAAGAAGAAAAAAAAACAAGTCTTTTATTAGGTCTTCGTGAAAGACTCTCTTTCATTTGGAGTTTTTTGTGATTTTATTATTTCTATTTTAATTTTGTAAAACCAATTAGGAAGTTTTATTTTTAAAATGAAATTTGTGAGAAAATGAGGGTAAAATTGGGTTTTTGATTTTTAAAAAACCTATTTGACCAATCTACAAGAAGAAGGGATATATGGACAAATTTTTAAGTAGATATCCTTTATTTCCAATTTTCCCCTTATTTAATAGATAATAAAGCATAGTCACAGTGAAAATGTGTAAATAGTAATCTTATTTCTGTTTCCAAGTTCTTATGTTGTCTCTTTCCAAGCTACCTAATATGATGACTTCAGAGTTTGGTCCAGACATAACAATCTTTACTGTGAAGTTTGGTCTGATATAGAATGTCAAGACTAAAGAGTTAGGAAAAGAGTAAAATGGTAAGAAACAGACAAAAGAGAAGAAAGACAAAACAGAGAGTTTTTTTAGTAATACAAGAAGGTTAGCAAGTAAACAAGCCAGCCATTGAAGGTCTCTCACCAAATCCCCTCATAAGACGCTACCCCGAACCACAAACCCACACACACACACAACACAACTCCATTTTCACAACACGGAATCTTCCCATCGCTGCTCAGGAATGAGAGATGGGAAATGAAGGGGAAAGAGGGATTTGACTGATTGCTTTTGATCAGTAGTTGTTGGGCCATAACTGCTGTTGGGTCTGTTTAGACGCGTCTCTAGCGTTTTGTTGTTGTTGGTGTTGGTGATGAAGATGTTCTAATGACATTGCTGCTTGTGAATGGTAAGGACTCACATAGCCATGTCCTCCATAATGTTGTTGTTGCTGTTGTTGTTGAGACGGCTGCTGCTGCTGTTGCAGTTGTTGGGCTTGACGGAAACCGGGAGGCTGCTGATTCTGATGACCAGGGAAGCTGTAATATCCGCTTCCTGGAACTACTCGCGAGTTGGGTTGTTGTCCTTGATGCCAGGCTGCTGAGTTTTCGTTCTGCAGAAGCAAAACAAAGAAAGCTACTGGTTAAGGTTTGCAATACAGAGACGGGACAAATAACACCAATTCAAAATAAACCTTACCCAGCCAAAACCAAACCGCTACCAAATCAAATAGATGGAAAGTTCATCTTATTCTACTAACTAAAGACAATTCTAACTAGAAAATTGTTATTTGCATTTTAGTTTTTTTTTTTGGGTCCCAAACAAAGCCTAACCAGAAACCAAACTAAACTGATTTTCTTAAAACCAAACAGTTCCAAACAGAGCCATACCCATCCAAAACCAAACAGAAACAAAAATTTGAATACTCCAGTTTAAATTCCAGCTGACTAAACTGAGTAAACCGAACGGAACCAAAACTTCAAATGTCACACCAACAAGATTAAAACCTGAGAGGAATTTCATGGTTTACCTGCTGCTGAAGAGATGATGCCAAGTGATTGCCATCATTAAACTGGGAGCTCAAGACATCTTCGTAGGAGTTTGCAGCACTTGTGGGATTCAAAGGGAAGTTGTTACTTGAGGCAGCGCCACCGCCGAAACCGTAGGCAGAGGGAGGAGGAACAGGAGGAGCGGTTGCTTGAGTTTTGTATTGTGGAAGCATAGCAGCTAAAGACTGATGGTTCCCAGTGGGAAACGCTTGCTGAAAAGCTGAAGGCATGTAAGGGTTGTAACTCTGTGCCATGAATGGGTAGCTTATCAAATTACCATAATGCCCTAAAGGCATCCCGGGCTGATGAGAGTATGGATTTAAGGCGAGGTGTTGTGCAAGAGCTGCTGCTTGTTGTCCTGCACTGGGCATTGCGTTTTGAGATGAAATACTCGCAGCTCTTAGTGCCTGCAAACAAATTTGTGTAAGCAATGGTATTAGAGGAAAGCTCAGAATAAGTTTATATGAAAGAGAAAGGGGGATTTAGTTACCTCGGCCATGGAATTTGTTGGACCGCTAAGTGAAGAGGGAGCAGCAGTGTTGTATTTTGTTGTGAAAGGCAAGTAGTGAAGATCAGATTCTCTTCCATCTTGAATGCCTGATGGGAGTAGAGTGTTGGGTAACGAACTTGTATATCCTTGCTGCTGAACATTAAGAAAAAATAGTAGAGATGGTTAAAAATCTTTTCAGTGATCCTTTCGATTGTGTGATGGATTTTTAAGGCTGGATAGTGTTTGGATTTTACCATTACGTTGGGGTAGGTATCGAGATTCTGCATTTGAGGATTGGTTTCTGATGGAGAATTCAACTGTTGGCTGTTTTCAAATCTGTAATCTGCGGAAGACGAAAACTTGTACTGATGACCTTCTTCTTGCGGAGGTTCATGTTGCACTGCTTCTGTCTCAGAATCTGTGGCAGAATGGTAATTCCGGGTACTTGAATCGATTTGATAAGACACTTGTTCATTAGTAGCAGCATTTCTCAGCTGTTCTTCTTCCTCTCCATAAAAGTTAGTGTCGGGATGTCTGAATGAAGAATCATCCTGTGCTTCTAGTGGTTCATCCAATTTATCATTCAAGCCACTGGCTTGACCAGATCCTATCCCGGAACCAAAACTACCGAACATTAGGTGCGAGCATTCTGAGGTATGGACTTGCAGGTGATTGGGAATTATCACTGCAGGTTTGTCGTCTCTCGGTAATGCTTCCTGCTCTTCTTCATTGTCAATAGTAAGTTGCTGAAAACCGGTAGCAACAGATGCAGAAACATCTTCAGCTGAAAACAGTGGGAAAAGCAAACATCAAAAAACATGGACAAAGAGTAAGAAAGAAATTAAAAAAGACTCACACAGAATATGAATATCTCACCTCCATTTTCCTCATAAGAATATCTCTCAGCTTTGTTATTTTCATCGTCATACACTGAGGAATCTCTTGAATCATCGTCAACCAAATTTCTGCTTGATACTGAAGCAGGCGGATTGTGATCCATATCAGGAGGAGACTCAATTGGATATGTTTTTGTTTCATGGTGGTGGTCATCCAAATGAGTCTCATCCAGATGTTGAGACTCACTAAATTGGTCGGCAGAAATCTTAGATTCAGCAGATGGTTTCAAGACAGAGGATGATGGATAAAAAACATCTTGCTTCTCAATTGAAGGCCATTCATCCTTCAAAGGGGCTTTACTTCCGCTCTCTTGAGCCTCTGATGAGCGAGGCAAAGCAACATTCTTCTGCTGGTTAGGCCTACCCATTTTCACAATCTCAGCCATAGTTCTTTGCCCGGGGTTAGCACTGGCCCAAGCGGATTGATACGCAGGAGAAGGCAGCGAAGACGAAGTAACTGCATCACTCGGGCCTGTTGGTGCTTTCTTGACTTCAGAGCTTGGAGGATCACTGCAAAGCAATGGAGATACTAAGATAACACAAAATAGTGGACATTTTTAACAAAATCAGATACTAAAAGACCACATGAAGTTAAGAACCTGTTTGATGGAGGTTGGCGTCCAAGCACACCAGATGATACAGAAGATCCTGCCCAATGATTACGTGCTCCGTTTTCTCTTCTGTTTGCAGGTACACCATGATGAACATTCCCCGTCTCTGAACCAAAATCCAGTAACAAGTTTAGACATTTTTCTGAGGTAACCAAAATCACAACCAACAGAAGAAAAAAAGAGAAAACTCTCTCTCTCTTGCACAATTTGCATTTTATTACCATTAGAATTATACTTGTTTCCGCCACCTCGAGATGTGTTGTAACTGTCATTACCGCTTCTAGCTCCACGATTCGGGACGTTACGCGTCCAGGAGTCTGCAGGGTCTTTAGTCTAACCAAACAAGCAAAATAAGTGAGAATCAGACAAGAAGAAAAATCATCATCTGAAGCTATCAGGCATTAGTAAACTAGTAGCTGCTTAATGTTATAATCCACAAACCTCTTTCTTCTTCTCTCGTTTGCTCTTCACCTCATGAAAAGTATCTGAAAAGTTTTAAAGAAACAACATTATAAGAGACGGCAACAAAGAAAGGGAGAAAAAACTGATTTTTATGTTTATTTCCAGAAACAGGTAGCCAGCTAATGAAGAAGATTCAACCAAATCCAAAAAACATTACTATTTCAAGAAACTTAAGGAAAACAAACAAAGTTCTGACACATTCTCTTACACAAGAAGTTCTAACAGCTTTAACATGATTAGCAAAATTTCTTCACAAGGTAAAAAAAAAAACTCTTTGAAGTTTTGATTTTTTTTTGCTTCAAAGCTAAAACCCAGAAATCAAACAAGACATAAAAAGCTATGGAAGCTTAAAGAACGAACCTTGAGAAAGGAGACGATTAACAGCTTCATCAGGATCCATATCGCACTCAACAAGCATCGCATAGATCTCTAACTCAGAACAGTTCACGATCTCCTTCAAACCCTGAACAACCTTCCTCGAAGACGCCGGAACACCCCCGTTCGCGTTACTAACGCCGCCGCCGCCACGACCGCCCATTTTTCTCTTCTCTCCGGATTACCGGAAAACAAAACGAATCAGATCTGAAGTTAAAAACTTCTTCGACTCACGATTCCTTCACGAGCGATTCTAAAAACCCAAAATAAGGATTCTTGATGTTTGTATCTCTCTCGCTATTGGCTTCGAGTATCGGAAGAAGAAAAAAAAAAACCCTCTTTTTATTTCTCCTCTGCTCTTTGGGTTTGGGGCTAAATAATGGTTTTGGGAAAAAGGAAAAAAGATTCAAATTTTTGGAAAGTTATGTTATCAAAAATGGTATATGTGTTAATTAACAAATTTATTTTGGTAAGTTAATTACTTTTTCTTTAATGGTAATTAAGGGCTTGATTGGTTCTCCCGCTAGAACCCTCCTAGCGGTCGGTTGCGGTTGTTAGCGGTTGGTACCAATCATAGAAATCGCTCTGTACCGCTTCAAACCGCTCGAAATCGCTGAATTTCAAAAGCTCCTTCCCGCAAGCGTTTGCGGTTGCGGGCGGTAGCGGTTGGAAAAAAAAAATCAAACGTTTACTTATAATTATTATAAAATATATTAATCCTATATATATCTTTCATCTTTGTATCACGTTCTCATCAGAAACCCTAATCAATATTCTAAAACCTTATTCTCTCAATGTCTTACACCCAAACTGATGAAAATCAAGAACCAAACGTAAATATCATATATCATTTTATTCATTCACCACCTCATGTGTAACTCTTTGAATATTTTTCATCGCATTGTTTTTCTTTTCATTATGTATTGCTTTGCTTTTTGATTGAATATATGTTTCGATTTGTTTTCTCGAATAGAAACCCACTTGCTTTTTGATTGAATTCAACGTTATTTACAGTTTGTCCCATTACTTGATACGATTTTTGGAGTTAAACCAGCATAAAGTACTATCTTATTACAAAATTTTTTATTTTTGAATAATTATTTAATACTTTATTTATGGTTTTAATTATTAAGCATGTTCAATTTTTCTAATATTATCATAATAATATATTGGTGTTTTTAATTCTTTTCTTTGTAATATGTTTTATTTTTTTGGTCATTTTTCTATTTAACTGCTACCGCATCCGCTGGTTTACCAGTCATAAAACTCCTGCAAACGCATTCATTTTCAAATGCTAAACCAGTCGTTCAAAACACTTGGTAACGCTTGAAACCGCAACCGCCCGCTTCCGCAAACTCCCGCAACCGCAACCGCAACCGCTGCGTTTAAACCAGTCAGGCCCTAATAACTTTGTATATGTTTGTCAGATTTTCATTTAAAGACATGAATAGGTTTTGGATAATGATGAACCTTAATTTTACATATTTTTTAAGAAACAGTTGTTGTCTGAGATTCTATTAAAAAAAAAAAAAAAGATTTTTTGAATTTTAGATTCGAGAAAAATGAAGTAGTTCATGCGCTTAAACAACGCGTGGAGAGAAAGAATCTGAGAGTTTTTAAAATGATTGAATAATGGATAAGGACGTCGTTCCGGGCCTACATATAATATGGGCCTAAGCCCATTATACCTAACTTCAACAAAAAGAATAAAATTTAAAAAAATTAAAGGATCAGCACGTGTCAAGTTACAAGGGTGAGTAGCTGAGCTGGATAAAACTTTATACGTGTCATCTTCTTACAGGTTAAAAACCCGCCCACCAAAAGATTTCTTCGGAATTAAAAAAAAAACGTTATAAGCTAAGCTTCTCTCATTCGTGGAAATTGTCTTTGAGACAAAAAAAAAACCAGAGAGAAGGAAAAAAAAAAAAACTCTTGCTTCTTCAGGTTGGTCTTCTTCTTCCTGAGCTCAATCTAGTTCTTGGTGTTTTTATGCAATTGTGATTATTAATGATCGGTATTTAACGTTTCTTAGCAATTTTATTTTGTTTTTATCGGTAGACTTGTGGTGGAGAAGAGTTTGAGTTTGTGAAAATGATCAAAAATTCTATTACAGATCCGTATGTTTATCTTACTAGATTCTGTCTTCTTCATCAAGAAGCTGACTTTGTTTTGCAGCATCGATCTTGAGACCATTCCTTTTGCAGACTATGCCAATGCCATTTTTGAAAATGAAGAGCAAGATAAGCAAAGACTCGTTTAGAGAAAAAAGGGTTCTTGGTGTTTGTAAGAAATTACCTCATAAGGATTTAAAAAATTCATGCTTTGATTCCAAAAAATCGGAGAGAATGGAACATTTGGTCACTGCTTCTCAGAATTGCCACAACAATGAGGAACAAGATTTAGGTAAGGCTTGTTTCTTGAATTCTACATATAGATCGGTCAGCTTTTTATTTTAACTGAGCTAGTTTTGTTGTGATGATGCTTTTGATTTCTATAGGTTTGGATTCTTCTACTAGGGATGTTGAAACAAACGAACCCGAAGACCTGCTAGTTGAAGACACTTCCAATAATGCGTCGAATATGGATACAATATTTTCACCTGTTCTGGATGATGAACTGTATTCAGAAACTGGTCGAGGTATTCTGTTACTCTTTCAGTTTTTGATTTAAGCTAATCTTTGAATTAGTATCGAGTAATCTAATAATGGCTTTCCTCAGTATTTGTGGAAGGAAACAATGTGCAATGGGAAATGCCTAGGTGGGGAGCTGATGAGAGCAGCAGCAACAATCAATCTTGCAACGATTCTGATTACTTTCTTTCTGATGTGCTGATTGCAAGCTTGCCATTCTATGAGAGTGGAAATGTTGATTTTTTCACTGAGATAAGTCCCTTGCCTCGTTGCATCTTTCCAGAGCCAAGTGTGTTATTAGATGTAGCTGAGCAGTACATGGTATTACCTTACTTAGAAGATGGATCAGCCAGCAGTGATGATGTTAAGTCTTATGAGGACAGCGGGGGTAATGTCGATAAACATGACTTGTTTATGGCATTCAACTGGTCAAGATCACAAAACTTGGAAGCAGCAGATGCTCACGCTGAAGCTGAACAAACTGAAGATTTTGATCCACAGCTTTTCTTAAGAAATCAACCGGAGTTAGCTGATGTGGTATCCAATTATTTCCCTGATATGCAGCAGCCTAGGGAATCCCCGAAAAGGAAGGCGGTAACCCTTGTTCTTGATTTGGATGGTATGATATGAACCACTTGGTTAAGTTTTGCCTCCATGGTACCACCACACTTACTAATCATCTTAAAGTGACATTGCAGAAACTCTGGTCCATTCGACTCTGGGAGCCTGCAGAGATACAGACTTTTCCTTCAGAGTCACTTTCAATATGCAAGAGAACACTGTTTACGTGAAACAAAGGCCACACCTTTATAGGTTCTTAGAGAGGGTCATTGAACTTTTTCATGTTGTCATCTTCACGGCTAGTCACAGCAATTATGCGTCTCAACTTCTAGATATATTGGATCCAGATGGGAAGTTTGTATCGCAACGTTTTTACCGGGATTCATGCATTCTTTCAGATGGGATTTATACCAAGGATTTAACTGTTTTGGGTCTTGATCTAGCAAAAATGGCTATAATTGACAACTGTCCACAGGTACTTTCTAAAGGATTCCCTTCAGTACCTATGTTTCATTAATTTTTGCTTTTCACTCACAGTCCAATAGAAGCCTTAGTCTCAGTGATAGACACCACAGTGCAGAATTTGCAGTTTCCTTAAGTTTTACATGGACCCTCATTGTTAATGTTTCAGGTGTACAGATTGCAAATAAACAATGGGATCCCTATCAAAAGTTGGTACGATGATCCAACTGATGATGGTCTGATTACATTACTTCCCTTCTTAGAGACATTGGCTGATGCCAACGATGTTCGTCCTGTCATCGCCAAGAGATTCGGTAACAAGGAATAAGAAATCTCTTCCTTTTGTTTCCTCTATACCTTGAGTGCAGATTCTGGATTTCTTTTACAGATTTAGTCATAGACTAGTTTAGTTCCTCAAGACTTGTTAGGTGCTATTTAATTAGTTAACCATAGAATAATGCTCGGTGATGTTAGTACACAAGTAAGCGGAACCCTTGTCTTAGCCAGGATAAGAATAGATCATTGGAATCTTAACACTCTGTTCTAAATGTACAGTTGGTGAAGCTGAGATACTGAATGTATAAAAGTGAGTATTTTTTGAGTGAAATATCAGTTTTGGAGGTTAACAACAGCCTTTATCTCCTTGTGGTAAATCCAAACTGTTGGTTAGATCTTTGTACTCTGCATTGTCAATAATATAAATGAAGAGAGGTATCTCGAACCTTGTTTTCGTGAATTTATCGAATTTTCTAGCTTCTGTGGTCTTTCAGAAAGGAGGAATATCGTCATCATCGGGGGACTGGATCTGGTGGTTCCATGGTATTATAATAAGCTATTTAATCTATAACTCTCAGTAAAAGTTTCATGATTCTGCTTGCATGGTCCTTATTGTGCAGATCATTCAACAAGTTATTTTGATTAGGCGTAAGGAAGTGACCTGACTTTGTTCTGCTCTGTGTTAACATGTCTCTTTCAGAGTTGTCTAATGGTCCAAAGCTCCCTGACAAACTTGCCAATATGTAAATCTATAGAATGTTTAACTTGTTTTCATTAAAATTTGTTGGTCATATTTTGTTGTTAGTAGGTAAATAAACCAAAACAGTCAAGAGGAATCTTATTTCTTAACGTTGTTTCTTATGAACCAAAAAGGTCATTGATTTCTTACATAACATCAGTCAATCAGATGCTTTGGAGATTACATAACATTAGTCACATAAAAAAGAAAGCTGCACTATTGCCCTTATAGGAGTCGGATTAAACCACCAAACCTTTCATCTACTTCATAAGGTGTAAATTGCCTTGGGTCAACCTAAACGCCACATAAATAGCCGTTTTATGTTGGTCTAAGTTTGATTATGTTAGAAGAAAAAGCTCTGAATCAACATGCGTCTCCAAAGAAACATCAACCATTGGTTTACAGAAATGTGCATATAGAGATATCAACAACCAAACATTTTTCTACTGCCAGTCGCCACAGTTACAATCACAAAACCAATTCCAAAGGAAAATATATCAAGTTTTCTTCAACTTCTTGCGTTAATTCCTACTCCCAAAAAACTCAACACCTCTGCGCTTACTACTTCTCGGTTGCCAAAAAAAGATCACATACCATTAACCATTCTCTTCATCTCGGATGATCGATCTCCTTGGATCCGGTTCTTCAATTGCTCTCTCTCTCTCTCTCTCAGCACGTGCTTTATGCGGCGCATTGATCTCCTCACCTATATTGAGATGCAAAAAAACATGAATAAATAATCTCCCATAGTGGTGAAAAACATATTACATATGATGTTTTTTCGGATACATAACCATTGCCTTTGGGAGTTACTTTGGTATCATATGATTACCTTTGGAAATTGGAATGCGTTCAGGTTAGGAAAGTGCATGGTCTGAGCTTGAAGCTGACGTTGAGTCATTAACATCTTTTTCTCTTTAAGAAGAACGTATCACAACTTCTGAAGATCATCCCATGACTTAAGGCGCAATCCTGAAGCTTTCCAACTTCGCCCTAACACCAAACGATTACATATGTTCCTAGGCTACAAAAATCACTGACCTTGGAGGTATATAACTTGTTTTTCAAGTAAACCTCAAACTTCCACACATGACACAACCAAATGTGATTTGTTATCTGTTTGTTCTTTTCTTCAGTGAAACCTTCTAGTGAGAACTTTCTCTCTGAACATAAGCAGTTTGTACGGACAAGCATTAGCAAAGAATCACGACTGGGAAAGTGTGTGGTGGTCTTGTTCCTTGTGCCGTGTGAGTCACGCTTCTTCCTTGTTCGCGACAATCAACGTCTCATCATTAGATGAAGAACATTTTGGAGGAGAATCCCGTCGAAGAGCATGTGTTACCAACAGACGGTGAAGAATCATCTAATGAACCATCTGATTCTGATGGATCTGTTGAAGAAGAAGAATATCTTCATGTAAGTTATTATGCTCTCCTGATCAGCAGATAATAACCCCTGGGTGATTTCACTTTTAACTGTTTCCTTTAGGACCTTGAGGACGATGATGATGATGTGAACGATATGGATTATGAAGAAGTAGCAGTAGAAGAAGCTAATCATGTTGTAAGTTCTTATGAGATCTCTCCCTTTTGCCCATTTGTGTGATTTCATTTCTAAACGGTTTTTCTTAAGGACCTTGAGGACGATGATGATGATTTCAATTTGGACATTTACTCTCCTCGACCTAATGAAGAAGTAGCAGAAGAAGATATCTTGCTACTAAGGATAGAAGAAAGTGAGTATATGGTGTAGTCTTATCATATCTCCTAAGGACTCACTCTCTCAGCCTTTGTTTAATGATAATTTGTTTCAGCTGTTGAAGTGCTGGAAAAATTTAGTCAATTGAGGCAACAAGGCTTCACAAGGTCTGATTATGTTGACCAGCTTAAAGATGATCTTGCTTCTCTTTACGTGTACAATAGGTTTCTTATTACAACTTTGGTGGAGGTGATTCTCCCGGACGTTACCATTGTTCTAAAGATATGGCATCGCCATCTCTGTTGCTAATTACTCATATGATTAACTAGAATTTCTTGGCAGACGTTGAGTCCTGCGAAACTCTTTAAACTAATCAAGGAGTTTGAAAATCCGAGGCCTACATATATATGAATGAATCCACTAAAGGTAAACTTGGTTATCCATTGATGAAGTGTTTAGGAAATTTCTGAGGATAAGCATTGTTATGATGAGTCTTGTTTTGCTTAAGACTCGGAGAAGCGAGAAGGTATCTTGCTCAACAACTTTTGGACCAAGAATTTCAGGTATTCCTGCCAGCGGAGTGGTCAAATGTACTGTGCAGATATTTATTCCTCTAGATTCACAACAAGTATTATTTTGTAGATATATACATGTAGTTGATTTTTTCACAATTGGTTGTAGGATGGGCTTGTCATTGGTGATGGACATGCATGTCTCATTGCTTTAACTCTTCAATACATGGTTGGGTGCTTTATGGTAAGGTTATTTTTACCATCCTCTTCAACATATGGCTAGCTCTTTATATATAAAAAGGTATTTTTTTTATGATGCATTTGTAGATTCAAAACATTGGTTCCTTGTTCGATGTAATGACATTAGATCCATAGAAGAATGAAACGACTGTAGACATGTGGTAAGTCATTTATTTTATATCATATTTTCACTATGCTAGAGGGTTGACATTGTATAGTTTCAGCAATGTGGCAAAGATACAAGTTACATTGCTGCTTTGATGGATAATACTAGTATGCATTATTGATTTCATTTGCTCCATATTTTTGTTCTCTTAACTCACTTTCACTTGCGGAATGTTTTTCTCTTGTGAGTTAAATGAAAGTAAAAGACACACAAGTTTAACGAGTTCTCGTTAGCATTGTATACAACTCAATGTACGAGATATGTTCACTTCCACTTCTTTGCCAATCTTGAATATGAATGTAGGATATCATTGTAGAGATTTTTTAATCATACATATAAAAATAGGGTTTCACTCTCTCCTTATTGGTCCACTTGAAAATTTATTTTCAAAAATATAATATTTATTTTCAATTAAACTTAAAATATAACACATTTAGTCATATAAATTAATTCATACTTTAAATTCACACTTTACTACTAAATTGTAACTGAAATTACATAATTGTGAATTGACTTTTTTTTTTTGTCTATTCATAGGGTTTCACTCTCTCCTTATTGGTCCACTTGGCAATTTATTTTCAAAAATATAATATTTATTTTCAATTAAACTTAAAATATAACACATTTAGTCATATACATTAATTCATACTTTAAATTCACACTTTACTATTAAATTGTAATTGAAATTACATAATTGTGAATTGACTATTTTTTTGTCTATTCATTGTCATTTAAACACACTATAATTATAATTATAACTCCTATAATCTAATTCTTTTAGAAATGTAACTTCCATCACTTTTTTCCTATAAATAACTATTCTCACATCCCCCTCCACCTTGTCTCAAATCCTAAATATTTTCTTTGTTTTGTTTATGTTCTTGCATGAGTTGAAAACTCAATTAAGATATCATTGTAAGAGTTTGATTATATATTTTGTTTACATTCTTTTCAATTTTATTTCTTTTTTGTTTTTAAGTACTTTTTCCTTCCTTCTTTATTTTTATAATATTTTTAATATAAAATTACATATGTATAATATAATTTTGATGGCTATGATAAAATTATCTTAATGATGCAGATTCAAATATATTATTTCAGACTATCGCACAATAAGGGAATCAAGCTAATGGATGTTTGAGTATTTCTTACATATTTCTGTATATTAATTTTATTTTTAAAAGTATGCAATGTTTTAACGAAATAATTTTTTGTAATACAATTATCAAATTAATTTTCCTTAAGATGTCTTGATTGAAAATAATTAATTTCTTAGATTACTATTAGTTGTTAATTATTTTAGAATATGTAATATCAAAATTAATGTTCAAATGATTAAACAATGATTAAACAATGATTGAATTTTTCATATGTGCGAAAACCCAAAACATCAAACTATTAGGAACAGATGGAGTATATGGTTATTTTTTTGGGAGACTCACAAAAATGCCCCTTTTTCAATACCCCTTTTCAAAAATACTCCCTTTGGCTGTCCATTTTTAAAAATACTCCTATTTTTGTACAAAATGACAAAATTACCCTTCTTTTAATAAAAGATATCACAAATATATAAGGAAAACATGAGAATGTGCACACATCAAAATTACAAATTTGATTTTGTAAAAACTTGTAAAACCTTTAAAATACCTTGTAAATTTTTCCCGTAAAAATTTTTCCCGCCAAAAAATTTTTTTTGCGGGAAAAGTGATTCCGCAATTTTTTTGGTGTTAAATTTTTGGCGGGAAAAATTTACAAGGTATTTTAAAGGTTTTTACAGGGTATTTATAAGGTTTTACAATGTATTTTAAAAGGTTTTACAACGTATTTATAAGGTATTTATAAGATTTTACAAGCTATTTTATAAGGTTTTACAATTTTTTTATAAGGTTTTACAAGTTATAAATACCTTATAAAACACTTGTAAATATTCTGTAAAACCTTTTAAAATACATTGTAAAACCTTACAAAACACTTGTAAATACTCTGTAAAACCTTTAAAATGCACTGTAAATTTTTCCCGCCAAAAAAATTGCGGAATCTTTTCCTAAAAAAAAAAAAATTTGGCGGGAAAATTGCGGGATCACGTTTCCCACCAAAAATTTGCGGGATCTCTTTTCCCGCCAAAAAATATTTTCTATTTTGTGGACCTAATTTTGTTACAAATAAGGGTAAAATGGTCATTAAAAATTAAAAGAGGGTAAACTTAAAAAATGGACTCTCAAAGGGGGCATTTTGAAAAAGGATATTGAAAAAGAGGCATTTTTAACAATTTCTCTATTTTTTTTTGGTGATGGAGTATATGGTTATTGTGATTAAGGATGAAATACTGACAGACTTTTTATTATGTATTCCAATAAAAAAAATTAGTGTTATCTTATTTCCATTATTTTTTTTATTTCTTTTGTCTATATATCATATTATAGAAAATTATTAGAATTTTAAAAATGCTAACTAGCGAATTGACTCTGATTTTGGTTCAAGAAGATTGAATTCCCGAAGCATGAATGTCTTTTTTCTTCTTAATTGTTTATTTAGATAATCTTGCTACAAGGTTTTGAGCTTTGGATCATGTTTTTCACACGATTACTTACTATATAGTCTTCATGAAACTCAACTATCCACATCCTATGGCTCTGTCTCACTACTTATTTCGGAGTCGTATGAAGATAGGGTTTATCAAAAAAATATATATATTTTCAAAAATCTACATACCAAAATTATTGTATAATTAAACAAACAAGAATGATAAACTCAGCCAAAATTTTCTAAATACCAAAATTTACTTTAAATTTTTTATAAGTTGAACAGAATTTACAACTCCAATTAACTGTGATTAAAAATATAATATCAATTTTATAATCATTTTTTATTTACTTTGTTTGTTAGAAACTTAAACCAGTTCTGTTTTTGAATGTTAGATATGTTTAGGAATGCTAGATATACTTGCTTTTTTGGTTGACATTTAATTATCAGTTATCCTTTAACAAGGATAAAAACAAACATCAGTGGAAGAGTCGAGAGAAAAAAAGAGTTTAGTTAATTAGTTTATCAAAAATAAAATAAAGGAGTCGCATGAAACCTGGTTCCTGCTTTACTGGTTACGTGTTCTTGGGTACTAAACTATAAAGCAGCACTATCAAAAGCACGATTGCCTTCAAGCTTTCCTCTGTAAACAACATTGGGAGCTTTCTTTCTCTCCACCTTCAGAAACAATGCAACTGGGACTAAACCCATTTGTTACTTTCTTCAGTTCACTTAGTTCAAACTCTTTGGTACTCCTGATTCTCTTGGTCCTCATTTACTACAACACAAAAACAGTTTACATAACACAATCCTAGAGACACCAAAAACGCATAAGCTAATGGAGATTAGTCTCAAAAAGGTTAATTCTTTCCACTTGTTTTCCTATTCTAAACCAATTTTACCATAAAAACCCATCGAGGAATCAAACATGATTTGTTTAAAGGAAGAATCAAATCTACCAAAACAATTTTCGACTACTTAAAAAAAATAAATCTTTTTGGCAGAGAGTTCAACTAATTAATTCCATGGAACTTTTTATTCAAAAAAAAAAAAAACACAAGAAAAATTAAAGTGAATCGGTACAATCTGTACGTGTGGGAGAGAATGCAAACACAGTAGCAAAACAAAAAAAGCATTGAAGAAAACATGAAAAGAAGAATCTTGAGGTAAAAAACGAATCAACGACGACATAAAAAAGAAACCTTTTTTACTTTTTCTCTCTCTTTCTCTTGCTGCTAATGATAAAGAATCTTCTTCTTCTTCTTCTGATCGAAACTCACTCCACACTTTCCCCAAAGCTATGGGATTCGAGAGCTCTTCCTCTGCTGCAAGCAATATGAAACCTCTTGGAGATTCCAAACCTCAAAAATCCAACACTGCTCAATACTCTGTTGATGCTGCTCTCTTTGCTGATTTCGACCAATCCATTTACTCCGGCAAGTCTTTTAACTACTCCAAATCTGTGATTTCACCTCCTAATTACGTTCCTGATGAACACATCACTGCTTACTTGTCTAATATCCAAAGAGGCGGTCTTGTTCAGCCCTTTGGTTGTTTGATTGCTGTTGAAGAACCTAGTTTTAGGATCCTTGGTGTTAGTGAGAACTCCTCTGAGTTTCTTGGTTTGTTGTCTCTTGCTTCCACCTCTCACTCTGGTGAGTTTGATAAAGTCAAGGGTTTGATTGGAATCGATGCAAGGACGCTTTTTACTCCTTCTTCTGGAGCTTCTTTGGCTAAAGCTGCTTCCTTTACTGAGATTTCGTTGCTGAATCCTGTTTTGGTCCATTCTAGGACGACCCAAAAGCCTTTTTATGCTATACTTCACAGGATTGATGCAGGGATAGTCATGGATTTGGAGCCTGCTAAATCCGGTGACCCGGCTTTGACCCTTGCAGGCGCAGTTCAGTCTCAGAAGCTCGCCGTTAGGGCCATTTCTAGGCTGCAGTCGCTTCCCGGGGGAGATATTGGTGCGTTTTGTGATACTGTTGTGGAAGATGTTCAGAGACTTACCGGTTATGACCGTGTTATGGTTTATCAGTTTCATGAAGATGATCATGGTGAAGTTGTTTCTGAGATTAGAAGGTCTGATTTGGAGCCTTATTTGGGTTTACATTATCCTGCAACAGATATTCCTCAGGCTGCTCGGTTCTTGTTTAAACAGAATCGTGTCCGGATGATTTGTGACTGCAATGCAACTCCGGTTAAGGTTGTTCAGAGTGAGGAACTCAAGAGACCACTTTGTTTAGTTAATTCTACTCTAAGAGCTCCTCATGGCTGCCATACGCAGTATATGGCGAATATGGGCTCTGTAGCTTCTCTTGCACTCGCTATTGTGATAAAAGGCAAAGATTCGAGCAAGCTTTGGGGATTAGTTGTAGGTCATCATTGTTCTCCTAGATACGTTCCATTCCCGTTGCGGTATGCTTGTGAGTTTCTGATGCAAGCA